TAGAGCATGAAAAGAAATTGTATGGCTTTTTGTACAGCTCCTGCTCGTGAACGCCGCAATGCTCTGACGATCGCTGTACCAGAATGGAACTTGTTCGCCAACACACTCTCCAGTATCATCTCTACACCTTAAAGTACTCGCTAGTGCATCTCAAATGAGGATGCTAAGATGCCAAGAAATTCAGTGGTGGAGAAGCCGCGGGTGGTATTCGAAAATATATTTTTCATAGAAATAAGCGGCAGTTGGCACTGCTCATTCACTCAACCACTGGCCACTACAACCTCAAAGTATCGAATTGAACCTTGCAGATGGGGAGATGATACAATTTGAATTACATGTTACGTGGCAGCTGAAACTGGGGCTCCTGGCGCGAAAGGCCAGAGTGCAGGCAAATAAGGGATCTATCTGCCAAAGCATGGGAAGGTACAAAAAAATCGCGGTTTAGAGCAGGGTACAGCAGCAGGAGTTGTGTGGAATACATAAGGGGGTCGTGCTTTTCTAGTGGAGAGAGGGTCGTATTTGGTCGTTGAGAGAGGGAGTCATATTTGCCTAAAATGTGGGAAATTGGTATATGGATGTTGGGGAAGGGGGTCGTACCGAGACCACCACTTTGGTGGGGGGAGGGGTCGTGATACCCTCTCTCGGTGAGTGGGCTCATATTTACACAACCATTTCACAGATTACGATGCTGTACCCTGGGTTAGGGTATCAGCTTCCCCAGGGTGAGGGGATTCCTGAATGAAAGAAGTGGTGTGAGGTTACCCAATACGGACCACAAATTCTTCCCATGCAACCTTCACATTTTCATAAATCATCGTGGACTATTACTTTAAGCAGAAAAAGGCTAAAAATCACGTGCTCACCAATGAGTGTGCACGTCCGACCAATACCAGCTGAACAATGAATAAGTATCGGATATTGGGGATTACTGTCGATAATTTCTCTGTGGAGTTGAAGAGCTGTATTAGTTTTGAGTGGTGACGAATGATCTGGCCACCTTGAATATTGTAGATGACGGACTTGAAATTCTCGACCCCTGCAATTTCCTTCTCTTCGAATGACCATCTCTGTTAAGCATTCGCTAGCTTTGAGTTCGAACTTCAAGCTAAGGTTTCCAGTGTTATTATGTATTATAGATACGAAAAACGAAAATTGCGACAAAGGTGAGGTGTGCAGGGTTCTTACCTGCCTCTGACATTGAACAATGAAATCGTTAAGAAGCCAACATGAGTCCGCTCTATCAGACTGATTGTTGTGCTCTCCACTAAAAGCGACGATCCCACTAAGGTGGGATAATATGGAACACATTTCTCCCTGTCATCTGAAGAAAATTCCATTCGTCATATAAAGTTAGCATGTCAACGACTGATGCTGTCGAAAACTGACGTCGCTTCTCTGATACCGATAGCTAAGGGTGGGTCCATACTTTGCGACAGGCTCCACCAGCGACCAACAGCGTCCATAGTGTTTCGGCAGCGCCAGCGACTAGGAAAGTATAGGTATCGATATAGCGTCTTTCAACGTCCTGCACCAGTGTCTACCAGCGTCCGGGAGAGGACAGTATGGCTCGATGGGAGGCGGCTAGTAGGCAGCTGGTACCCTCCTAGCGCGCCATACTCTCTACCAGCAGTCTATCACCCTGCTATCCCCCATAGGGTGCGTACATTTAGTTAGGCCAATTAGGCAGACTCACCTCATCCCTAGTCCCCCTTGAGGCGACGAGGGCGAGTATAGGGAGGTGCTAAGTGAGGTCAACCCAACTAAAGTGACATTCCCTTCTCCATAGAAGGCTGGTGGACGGTGGAGAACGCTGGCAGATGCTGA